TTGAAGTATGTCCCAATTATCAACTGTATATATTTTGATAGTACCGTAGTATTTGTGATCCAACTTGTTTTGATTTCGGGATCTTTGGCTACGCGTTATTCAACGTTCACGGTGGGACGTTACATTATTCAATTTTCGGCGGCAAGATTTCAATTTGGTTCTCCGCTCCGACGGATTGCTTAATTGGATCCCTCGGTTAGTGGTACTCGTATCCGGAAGTGCCAAATTGGTTCCCTCTTCGCAATGCCAGTCACCCGCGCATCCACCCGGACAAAGGACTCATCCAAGTCAAGGCAAGTCCCTCTTCATGCTGTCTCTCACTCTGGCTCTCGGGTTAGCTATAGAAATTCAGTTAGCAGTACGCGCTCACAGCTCCTGCTTGCTGAGTTGAAAGAAAAGCAGCTCAAGGAGGAGCTAGAACTAGAAACTAGGGAGCAGGAACTTAGCAAACAGCGTAGACTGTTGAAGGCTAGACAGGAGGTCGAATTCGCCCAGCGTAGCGCCTTGCTTGAAGACGAACAAGGCGATGTAGACCTGCCCGCACTCCCTATTTATTCGTCAAACAGAGTTGACGAGTTTGTCACAGAATGTGTTGCGGTGGCTGCAAATCAACCATCCGCCGATTGTTATGACGATTTGCCGATTGACCCCCCCCCCCACTGCCACGTTGGGAAACGCTATGGCGTCCGCTCTCGTCCCACTTATTGCGGAAGCTGGTCTCCCCAAAGTAGAGCTCGCTTATTTCGATGGGCACCCAGCTGACTACTGGGGGTTCGTCAAGCAGTTTGAGTTCTATGTGGAGAGCAAGGTGGTAGATGACGGAAGACGTCTGCTCTACCTCATTCATTACTGTAAGGGACGAGATAGACTGGCTATTGGCAACTGCGTAATGCTGCCGCCCGGTCAGGGTTATGAAAGAGCTCGATGTATCCTTCGAGACCTCTTCGGGCAAGCACACTACATTGCTAGGGCATCGATAGAAGGCCCACTTCAAGGCGCGAAGTCCATTCCCAACAACGCAGATGCCCTGTCGGAATTGGCCATTAAGATGGAGAACTGCCACATCACATTGAAACAAATGAACTATGAGGCAGATGTAGACTCCTCCACCACCCAAGAAGAGATAGTCCGTGCCCTACCGAAGCCCCTGCAGTACAAATGGGCCGAAATCGTCGATCAGCTAACGCTTAGTGGTCATGAGCCCAGTTTTCTGAATTTAACCACATTTGTTTCATCGCGGGCACGCATAGCTCGCAGCCGGTTCGGACAGTTAGCCGATCGATCACCCCGTGGTGTCGAAACGACTGTTACGAGAGCTCCTCCAAGGAAAGAGTATCCGGCGATAAGTAGCCATTACGCTGGTCAGAGAACTACGTCGCCTGCCCGCCCCACCCACTCCTGCCCCGTTTGTTCGGACAACCACTTGGCCGTGGAGTGTGGAATATTTAGAGAACTGGACATATCGCAACGATGGGAAATGTTAAAAACCAATAACCTCTGTTTCGGTTGCTTAAGACCGGGCCATATCGCCAAAAACTGTGGCATTCGCCGAGCCTGCAATGCCGCTGGTTGCCAATCTCGTCATCACAGCCTGCTCCATGGTGGCGAAGTCCCCAAGTTAACTCACGCAGTATCCACAGATCAGGCTCGCTGCTGGAAGCCAGGTATACTAAGCGCTGGAAGCAAGTAGCCCACGGAGCCACAGGTATATTAAAAAGAGATGTCAGAAAGGTGTGCCGCCTGGAGGGCGATGAGTAGCAGCGCTTAAGTCTGGCTTGGAGTGCAGGGTGGTAGTCATGGAAAACGGCTTTCACCCAAGCGCTTCGATGCCCAGAGACGCCCACGAACGGCGCTTGGTGGGAGTCATGGAAAACGGCTCCTGCCAAGACGCTCTCGTGTGGTTGTGTTGCTTTCCCTTCTGTTTTTCTAAGGAGCGCTACTGTAGGCAGTTGTAGGACCGAGAGCCAGAGTGGAGTCGGGGACGTACGAGACGTCAATCGCAGAAGAATTTCGGAGGCAGTGTAACGCGCTTATTTACCCATGAAATTCTTCTACTCTTCGCTTCGTGGTCTAGTCTACAGAGCTTGACCGGTCGTTGATGGATATCGACCAGCGTTTCATGTGCGCCTCCTTACATTCCCATTGTTAGCGTTGTAGGTGTGTCTGTGTGTGCATGCTAATCACCGGCACTGGTTCCGTGCGTGTGCGTCTACCGACGACCTTGGATCTCCAACCCTACTCTTCGCCGAACAGGACACGTTCAGCCCGGAGCATGTGTCGCACCTCCTCCCCCGTCACTGGTCGCTTGTCCAAACACCATGTTTATGCGTGCCATTAAACTCTCACCCTGTGATTGGACCGTCCCTCGATTGGTCAACGCCATTATCTTAATACTCGTAGCACTCAGGTGTGGTGACTTTTTCCCTTTGATTGTCCGGCGTAGACAACTCGTCCCTCCTATTGTTTACTGACACCTTGTTGTCAACTTGCATACACCGGGATACTGAACAATTGAAGTATGTCCCAATTATCAACTGTATATATTTTAATAGTACCGTAGTATTTGTGATCCAACTTGTTTTGATTTCGGGATCTTTGGCTACGCGTTATTCAACGTTCACGGTGGACGTTACATTATTCAATTTTCGGCGGCAAGATTCAATTTGGTTCTCGCTCCGACGGATTGCTTAATTGGATCCCTCGGTTAGTGGTACTCGTATCCGGAAGTGCCAAATTGGTTCCTCTTCGCAATGCCAGTCACCCGCGCATCCACCCGGACAAAGGACTCATCCAAGTCAAGGCAAGTCCCTCTTCATGCTGTCTCTCACTCTGGCTCTCGGGTTAGCTATAGAAATTCAGTTAGCAGTACGCGCTCACAGCTCCTGCTTGCTGAGTTGAAAGAAAAGCAGCTCAAGGAGGAGCTAGAACTAGAAACTAGGGAGCAGGAACTTAGCAAACAGCGTAGACTGTTGAAGGCTAGACAGGAGGTCGAATTCGCCCAGCGTAGCGCCTTGCTTGAAGACGAACAAGGCGATGTAGACCTGCCCGCACTCCCTATTTATTCGTCAAACAGAGTTGACGAGTTTGTCACAGAATGTGTTGCGGTGGCTGCAAATCAACCATCCGCCGATTGCTATGACGATTTGCCGATTGACCCCCCCCCCACTGCCACGTTGGGAAACGCTATGGCGTCCGCTCTCGTCCCACTTATTGCGGAAGCTGGTCTCCCCAAAGTAGAGCTCGCTTATTTCGATGGGCACCCAGCTGACTACTGGGGGTTCGTCAAGCAGTTTGAGCTCTATATGGAGAGCAAGGTGGTAGATGACGGAAGACGTCTGCTCTACCTCATTCATTACTGTAAGGGACGAGATAGACTGGCTATTGGCAACTGCGTAATGCTGCCGCCCGGTCAGGGTTATGAAAGAGCTCGACGTACCCTTCGAGACCTCTTCGGGCATGCACACTACATTGCTATGGCATCGATAGAAGGCCTACTTCAAGGCGCGAAGTCCATTCCCAACAACTCAGATGCCCTGTCGGAATTGGCCATTAAGATGGAGAACTGCCACATCACATTGAAACAAATGAACTATGAGGCAGATGTAGACTCCTCCACCACCCAAGAAGAGATAGTCCGTGCCCTACCGAAGCCTCTGCAGTACAAATGGGCCGAAATCGTCGATCAGCTAACGCTTAGTGGTCATGAGCCCAGTTTTCTGAATTTAACCACATTTGTTTCATCGCGGGCACGCATAGCTCGCAGCCGGTTCGGACAGTTAGCCGATCGATCACCCCATGGTGTCGAAACGACTGTTACGAGAGCTCCTCCAAGGAAAGAGTATCCGGCGATAAGTAACCATTACGCTGGTCAGAGAACTACGTCGCCTGCCCGTCCCACCCACTCCTGCCCCGTTTGTTCGGACAACCACTTAGCCGTGGAGTGTGGAATATTTAGAGAACTGGACATATCGCAACGATGGGAAATGTTAAAAACCAATAACCTCTGTTTCGCTTGCTTAAGACCGGGCCATATCGCCAAAAACTGTGGCATTCGCCGAGCCTGCAATGCCGCTGATTGCCAATCTCGCCATCACAGCCTGCTCCATGGTGGCGAAGTTCCCAAGTTAACTCACGCAGTATCCACAGATCAGGCTCGCTGCTGGAAGCCAGGTATACTATGCGCTGGAAGCAAGTAGCCCACGGAGCCACAGGTATATTAAAAAGAGATGTCAGAAAGGTGTGCCGCCTGGAGGGCGATGAGTAGCAGCGCTTAAGTCTGGCTTGGAGTGCAGGGTGGTAGTCATGGAAAACGGCTTTCACCCAAGCGCTTCGATGCCCAGAGACGCCCACGAACGGCGCTTGGTGGGAGTCATGGAAAACGGCTCCTGCCAAGACGCTCTCGTGTGGTTGTGTTGCTTTCCCTTCTGTTTTTCTAAGGAGCGCTACTGTAGGCAGTTGTAGGACCGAGAGCCAGAGTGGAGTCGGGGACGTACGAGACGTCAATCGCAGAAGAATTTCGGAGGCAGTGTAACGCGCTTATTTACCCATGAAATTCTTCTACTCTTCGCTTCGTGGTCTAGTCTACAGAGCTTGGCCGGTCGTTGATGGATATCGACCAGCGTTTCATGTGCGCCTCCTTACATTCCCATTGTTAGCGTTGTAGGTGTGTCTGTGTGTGCATGCTAATCACCGGCACTGGTTCCGTGCGTGTGCGTCTACCGACGACCTTGGATCTCCAACCCTACTCTTCGCCGAACAGGACACGTTCAGCCCGGAGCATGTGTCGCACCTCCTCCCCCAGTCACTGGTCGCTTGTCCAAACACCATGTTTATGCGTGCCATTAAACTCTCACCCTGTGATTGGACCGTCCCTTGATTGGTCAACGCCATTATCTTAATACTCGTAGCACTCAGGTGTGGTGACTTTTTCCCTTTGATTGTCCGGCGTAGACAACTCGTCCATCCTATTGTTTACTGACACCTTGTCAAATTACATACACTGGGATACTGAACAATTGAAGTATGTCCCAATTATCAACTGTATATATTTTAATAGTACCGTAGTATTTGTGATCCGACTTGTTTTGATTTCGGGATCTTTGGCTACGCGTTATTCAACGTTCACGGTGGACGTTACATTATTCAATTTTCGGCGGCAAGATTCAATTTGGTTCTCGCTCCGACGGATTGCTTAATTGGATCCCTCGGTTAGTGGTACTCGTATCCGGAAGTGCCAAATTGGTTCCTCTTCGCAATGCCAGTCACCCGCGCATCCACCCGGACAAAGGACTCATCCAAGTCAAGGCAAGTCCCTCTTCATGCTGTCTCTCACTCTGGCTCTCGGGTTAGCTATAGAAATTCAGTTAGCAGTACGCGCTCACAGCTCCTGCTTGCTGAGTTGAAAGAAAAGCAGCTCAAGGAGGAGCTAGAACTAGAAACTAGGGAGCAGGAACTTAGCAAACAGCGTAGACTGTTGAAGGCTAGACAGGAGGTCGAATTCGCCCAGCGTAGCGCCTTGCTTGAAGACGAACAAGGCGATGTAGACCTGCCCGCACTCCCTATTTATTCGTCAAACAGAGTTGACGAGTTTGTCACAGAATGTGTTGCGGTGGCTGCAAATCAACCATCCGCCGATTGTTATGACGATTTGCCGATTGACCCCCCCCCCACTGCCACGTTGGGAAACGCTATGGCGTCCGCTCTCGTCCCACTTATTGCGGAAGCTGGTCTCCCCAAAGTAGAGCTCGCTTATTTCGATGGGCACCCAGCTGACTACTGGGGGTTCGTCAAGCAGTTTGAGCTCTATATGGAGAGCAAGGTGGTAGATGACGGAAGACGTCTGCTCTACCTCATTCATTACTGTAAGGGACGAGATAGACTGGCTATTGGCAACTGCGTAATGCTGCCGCCCGGTCAGGGTTATGAAAGAGCTCGACGTACCCTTCGAGACCTCTTCGGGCATGCACACTACATTGCTATGGCATCGATAGAAGGCCTACTTCAAGGCGCGAAGTCCATTCCCAACAACTCAGATGCCCTGTCGGAATTGGCCATTAAGATGGAGAACTGCCACATCACATTGAAACAAATGAACTATGAGGCAGATGTAGACTCCTCCACCACCCAAGAAGAGATAGTCCGTGCCCTACCGAAGCCTCTGCAGTACAAATGGGCCGAAATCGTCGATCAGCTAACGCTTAGTGGTCATGAGCCCAGTTTTCTGAATTTAACCACATTTGTTTCATCGCGGGCACGCATAGCTCGCAGCCGGTTCGGACAGTTAGCCGATCGATCACCCCATGGTGTCGAAACGACTGTTACGAGAGCTCCTCCAAGGAAAGAGTATCCGGCGATAAGTAACCATTACGCTGGTCAGAGAACTACGTCGCCTGCCCGTCCCACCCACTCCTGCCCCGTTTGTTCGGACAACCACTTAGCCGTGGAGTGTGGAATATTTAGAGAACTGGACATATCGCAACGATGGGAAATGTTAAAAACCAATAACCTCTGTTTCGCTTGCTTAAGACCGGGCCATATCGCCAAAAACTGTGGCATTCGCCGAGCCTGCAATGCCGCTGATTGCCAATCTCGCCATCACAGCCTGCTCCATGGTGGCGAAGTTCCCAAGTTAACTCACGCAGTATCCACAGATCAGGCTCGCTGCTGGAAGCCAGGTATACTATGCGCTGGAAGCAAGTAGCCCACGGAGCCACAGGTATATTAAAAAGAGATGTCAGAAAGGTGTGCCGCCTGGAGGGCGATGAGTAGCAGCGCTTAAGTCTGGATTGGAGTGCAGGGTGGTAGTCATGGAAAACGGCTTTCACCCAAGCGTTTCGATGCCCAGAGACGCCCACGAACGGCGCTTGGTAGGAGTCATGGAAAACGGCTCCTGCCAAGACGCTCTCGTGTGGTTGTGTTGCTTTCCCTTCTGTTTTTCTAAGGAGCGCTACTGTAGGCAGTTTTAGGACCGAGAGCCAGAGTGGAGTCGGGGACGTACGAGACGTCAATCGCAGAAGAATTTCGGAGGCAGTGTAACGCGCTTATTTACCCATGAAATTCTTCTACTCTTCGCTTCGTGGTCTAGTCTACAGAGCTTGACCGGTCGTTGATGGATATCGACCAGCGTTTCATGTGCGCCTCCTTACATTCCCATTGTTAGCGTTGTAGGTGTGTCTGTGTGTGTATGCTAATCACCGGCACTGGTTCCGTGCGTGTGCGTCTACCGACGACCTTGGATCTCCAACCCTACTCTTCGCCGAACAGGACACGTTCAGCCCGGAGCATGTGTCGCACCTCCTCCCCCGTCACTGGTCGCTTGTCCAAACACCATGTTTATGCGTGCCATTAAACTCTCACCCTGTGATTGGACCGTCCCTCGATTGGTCAACGTCATTATCTTAATACTCGTAGCACCCAGGTGCGGTGACTTTTTCCCTTTGATTGTCCGGCGTAGACAACTCGTCCCTCCTATTGTTTACTGACACCTTGTTGTCAACTTGCATACACCGGGATACTGAACAATTGAAGTATGTCCCAATTATCAACTGTATATATTTTGATAGTACCGTAGTATTTGTGATCCAACTTGTTTTGATTTCGGGATCTTTGGCTACGCGTTATTCAACGTTCACGGTGGACGTTACATTATTCAATTTTCGGCGGCAAGATTCAATTTGGTTCTCGCTCCGACGGATTGCTTAATTGGATCCCTCGGTTAGTGGTACTCGTATCCGGAAGTGCCAAATTGGTTCCTCTTCGCAATGCCAGTCACCCGCGCATCCACCCGGACAAAGGACTCATCCAAGTCAAGGCAAGTCCCTCTTCATGCTGTCTCTCACTCTGGCTCTCGGGTTAGCTCTAGAAATTCAGTTAGCAGTACGCGCTCACAGCTCCTGCTTGCTGAGTTGAAAGAAAAGCAGCTCAAGGAGGAGCTAGAACTAGAATCTAGGGAGCAGGAACTTAGCAAACAGCGTAGACTGTTGAAGGCTAGACAGGAGGTCGAATTCGCCCAGCGTAGCGCCTTGCTGGAAGACGAACAAGGCGATGTAGACCTGCCCGCACTCCCTATTTATTCGTCAAACAGAGTTGACGAGTTTGTCACAGAATGTGTTGCGGTGGCTGCAAATCAACCATCCGCCGATTGTTATGACGATTTGCCGATTGCCCCCCCCCCCACTGCCACGTTGGGAAACGCTATGGCGTCCGCTCTCGTCCCACTTATTGCGGAAGCTGGTCTCCCCAAAGTAGAGCTGGCTTATTTCGATGGGCACCCAGCTGACTACTGGGGTTCGTCAAGCAGTTTGAGTTCTATGTGGAGAGCAAGGTGGTAGATGACGGAAGACGTCTGCTCTACCTCATTCATTACTGTAAGGGACGAGATAGACTGGCTATTGGCAACTGCGTAATGCTGCCGCCCGGTCAGGGTTATGAAAGAGCTCGACGTACCCGTCGAGACATCTTCGGGCAAGCACGCTACATTGCTAAGGCATCGATAGAAGGCCCACTTCAAGACGCGAAGTCTAGTCCCAACAACGCAGATGCCCTGTCGGAATTCCCCATTAAGATGCAGAACTGCCACATCACATTGAAACAAATGAACTATGAGGCAGATGTAGACTCCACCACCACCCAAGAAGAGATAGTCCGTGCCCTACCGAGGCCCCTGCAGTACAAACGAGCCGAAATCGTCGATCAGCTAACGCTTAGTGGTCATGAGCCCAGTTTTCTGAATTTAACCACATTTGTTTCATCGCGGGCACGCATAGCTCGCAGCCGGTTCGGACAGTTAGCCGATCGATCACCCCATGGTGTCGAAACGACTGTTACGAGAGCTCCTCCAAGGAAAGAGTATCCGGCGATAAGTAACCATTACGCTGGTCAGAGAACTACGTCGCCTGCCCGTCCCACCCACTCCTGCCCCGTTTGTTCGGACAACCACTTAGCCGTGGAGTGTGGAATATTTAGAGAACTGGACATATCGCAACGATGGGAAATGTTAAAAACCAATAACCTCTGTTTCGCTTGCTTAAGACCGGGCCATATCGCCAAAAACTGTGGCATTCGCCGAGCCTGCAATGCCGCTGGTTGCCAATCTCGCCATCACAACCTGCTCCATGGTGGCGAAGTTCCCAAGTTAACTCACGCAGTATCCACAGATCAGGCTCGCTGCTGGAAGCCAGGTATACTATGCGCTGGAAGCAAGTAGCCCACGGAGCCACAGGTATATTTAAAAAGAGATGTCAGAAAGGTGTGCCGCCTGGAGGGCGATGAGTAGCAGCGCTTAAGTCTGGCTTGGAGTGCAGGGTGGTATTCATGGAAAACGGCTTTCACCCAAGCACTTCGATGCCCAGAGACGCCCACGAACGGAGCTTGGTGGGAGTCCTGGAAAACGGCTCCTGCCAAGACGCTCTCGTGTGGTTGCGTCGCCTTCAATTCTGTTTTTCTAAGAAGCGCTACTGTAGGCAGTTGTAGGACCGAGAGCCAGAGTGGAGTCGGGGACGTACGAGACGTCAATCGCAGAAGAATTTCGGAGGCAGTGTAACGCGCTTATTTACCCATGAAATTTTTCTACTCTTCACTTCGTGGTCTAGTCTACAGAGCTTGGCCTGTCGTTGATGCAGATCGACCAGCTTTCATGTGCGCCTCCTTACATTCACATTATTAGCGTTGTAGACGTGTCTGTGTGTGCATGCTAATCGCCGGCACTGGTTCCGTGCGTGTGCGTCTGCCAACGACCTTGGATCTCCAACTCTACTCTTCGCCGAACATGTCTGTTCAGCCCGGAGCATGTGTCGCACCTCCACCCCCGTCACTGATCGCTTGTCCAAACACCATGTTTATGCGTGCCATTAAACTCTCACCCTGTGATTGGACCGTCCCTCGATTGGTCAACGTCATTATCTTAATACTCGTAGCACCCAGGTGCGGTGACTTTTTCCCTTTGATTGTCCGGCGTAGACAACTCGTCCCTCCTATTGTTTACTGACACCTTGTTGTCAACTTGCATACACCGGGATACTGAACAATTGAAGTATGTCCCAATTATCAACTGTATATATTTTGATAGTACCGTAGTATTTGTGATCCAACTTGTTTTGATTTCGGGATCTTTGGCTACGCGTTATTCAACGTTCACGGTGGACGTTACATTATTCAATTTTCGGCGGCAAGATTCAATTTGGTTCTCGCTCCGACGGATTGCTTAATTGGATCCCTCGGTTAGTGGTACTCGTATCCGGAAGTGCCAAATTGGTTCCTCTTCGCAATGCCAGTCACCCGCGCATCCACCCGGACAAAGGACTCATCCAAGTCAAGGCAAGTCCCTCTTCATGCTGTCTCTCACTCTGGCTCTCGGGTTAGCTATAGAAATTCAGTTAGCAGTACGCGCTCACAGCTCCTGCTTGCTGAGTTGAAAGAAAAGCAGCTCAAGGAGGAGCTAGAACTAGAAACTAGGGAGCAGGAACTTAGCAAACAGCGTAGACTGTTGAAGGCTAGACAGGAGGTCGAATTCGCCCAGCGTAGAGCCTTGCTGGAAGACGAACAAGGCGATGTAGACCTGCCCGCACTCCCTATTTATTCGTCAAACAGAGTTGACGAGTTTGTCACGGAATGTGTTGCGGTGGCTGCAAATCAACCATCCGCCGATTGTTATGACGATTTGCCGATTGACCCCCCCCCCACTGCCACGTTGGGAAACGCTATAGCGTCCGCTCTCGTCCCACTTATTGCGGAAGCTGGTCTCCCCAAAGTAGAGATGGCTTATTTCGATGGGCACCCAGCTGACTACTGGGGTTCGTCAAGCAGTTTGAGCTCTATGTGGAGAGCGAGGTTGTAGATGACGGAAGACGTCTGCTCTACCTCATTCATTACTGTAAGGGACGAGATAGACTGGCTATTGGCAACTGCGTAATGCTGCCGCCCGGTCAGGGTTATGAAAGAGCTCGACGTACCCTTCGAGACCTCTTCGGGCAAGCACACTACATTGCTAGGGCATCGATAGAAGGCCTACTTCAAGGCGCGAAGTCCATTCCCAACAACGCAGATGCCCTGTCGGAATTGGCCATTAAGATGGAGAACTGCCACATCACATTGAAACAAATGAACTATGAGGCAGATGTAGACTCCTCCACCACCCAAGAAGAGATAGTCCGTGCCCTACCGAAGCCTCTGCAGTACAAATGGGCCGAAATCGTCGATCAGCTAACGCTTAGTGGTCATGAGCCCAGTTTTCTGAATTTAACCACATTTGTTTCATCGCGGGCACGCATAGCTCGCAGCCGGTTCGGACAGTTAGCCGATCGATCACCCCATGGTGTCGAAACGACTGTTACGAGAGCTCCTCCAAGGAAAGAGTATCCGGCGATAAGTAACCATTACGCTGGTCAGAGAACTACGTCGCCTGCCCGTCCCACCCACTCCTGCCCCGTTTGTTCGGACAACCACTTAGCCGTGGAGTGTGGAATATTTAGAGAACTGGACATATCGCAACGATGGGAAATGTTAAAAACCAATAACCTCTGTTTCGCTTGCTTAAGACCGGGCCATATCGCCAAAAACTGTGGCATTCGCCGAGCCTGCAATGCCGCTGGTTGCCAATCTCGCCATCACAGCCTGCTCCATGGTGGCGAAGTTCCCAAGTTAACTCACGCAGTATCCACAGATCAGGCTCGCTGCT